GGGGGGGAGGTGGGGAGAGAGAAAGAGAGAGAGAGAGAGAGAGAGAGAGAGAGAGAGAGAGAGAGAGAGAGAGAGAGTGTGTGTGTGTGTGTGTGTGTGTGTGTGTGTTGTGCATGCTTGTACAAGTCGGAACAAATGAGGCAAGAGAGCTTTGTTGCAATGGAACTGTGTAAGAGATAATTTTTTTCCAGCAGTAAGACAAGAGGTTGGCTTAGAGTGGGGACTTTTGAGTCTGTCCCTTAGCTGTTGAGAAGCTCAGTCCCACTGTCACTTGAAGATCAAGATGCTGGGAGTGACTATGTGTAGTTCTTTCAATTGCTCAGCTGCTATTATGAGTTGTCAAATCAGCCTGCTCACAGGGCTCAGTCTGAGTCCATGCTTTCCCTGACATTCTGAGATGAGGGCCTATCACTGTGGGGGTCCCTGCTGGTTTCGGAATTTTAAAAATGACTGAATGAATAAGGCATACACTTCATGACGGCAAGGATTCTTATTTCTTTGCATCTTCCACAGCCTGGCAGAGATAGTGTGTCCAATACATTAATCTGATGGGTTGATAGACAATTAAAAGTTACCAAATAAAGAGAAGGAAAGAAAATCCCTTTTGTGTTGAGAGAGAACACTATGTCCTGAATCCCTCATGTCAGTGGATTCTGGGCTTTGAGTAATGGGAACAGGCTGCATGGTGAGCTGAAAATGGAGCAGGAGAATCTAAGGAGGTGAGTTCAGGCCTCATTCTAGGCTTTGTCAGCAACTGTTAATATAAAGGCAGCTAGAGAAAAACCCAAGGCAATGGAGATAATCAGTCCGGTCACCCAACTGAATGATTCCTTTATGTTTCTAGCTTGAGGTAATCTGCTACCCACACTTTGGTAGCTTCTAACTATGCCAGCCAAACAGCTGAAGCAGGGAGAAAGGTGTAAATCTCAGCGGCAAGCAGAAAATGTTAAACTACTGACTAAAATAGCAGTTGCTTTTCCTGTGACAATTTGTGTAATTATGTCTGAAAAGGCTCTGTTTCTCGATTCTAACCTAAAAAAAAAAAAGAAAAAAACAAAGAAAATCCTGCCACACTACAGTGGAATAGCCTGGGAAATCTTCGATTCCTGTTTTCAAATGTTTTATGGTCCCTGAACCTTCTGTAGCCTCTCTCCCCTGAGAAGACTCCCAGGTATGGTTGTGACTTTATCTTAGAAGTACATGAATCATACAGGTGCTGTGGAGGAATGAGAAGACTAAGGTTTGGGAGTTAGATCCCAGCTCGAAGTTTTGGCTCTATGCTTATTACATTATGTGACTGAAACTGAGTTACTCATCTTCCCTGAGCCTTTCCAATTCCAAATCTGTACAATGGGTCTAATTGTCCCTACATGGCTATCCTAAGGAATATCATGCCTAGCACATTATCTGGCCTATAGTAGATGCCCAATACATGTAGGTCCCTTCCTCCAAGCCAATGCACTCCAAAGATCAGCAATACAAGACACGTGGAAGGAAAATACCAGAAAGAGGAAAACTGCTCACACCACACCAGGCTCTTGCTTCCGTCATGTTCTAAGTCCAGGGCCAGTGGTCCCCAAGGTTGAGCTGAATAGCCTCATAGCTAGAGCAGACACTCATGATTCAGACGTGGGTCCAAATCCTAGCACTGCCACTTATTAGCAGTAGGATTGCAGACATATAATGTAACTTCAGTCCCATAATTTTAAAACAAGAAAAATAACAGCATGAGTGTAAGATGAATTAACCTATGTAAAATGTTTAATTAGCACTGTGCCTAGCACAGTCAACATTCAGTAAATGTTATCTATCACATAACCTTCTATTATCTAACCGGCAGAACTCTAGAGGGTGACAGGTTGAGAAAAATAAGATGGTATAACTCCAAGGGTAAAAGGAGTCAAAAAAGTAAAAATCTCATGATGATATGAATGCATAGCTTAGAGGGTAAAAACATCAGCTTTTGTGAAATTCACTCTCTGGGAGGGTGACCTCACAGAGATTAGTATTAGACTAGTATCTTGATAAGCAGACCAGAGCTTCCATCACTCTAAAATCAGCTAGTGCTTGCAGGCTAGGAAGAAATTTGTGAAGAAGTTTGTTTTGGGCACTAGACGCTACCCTCTCCTTAATCTTTTCCTCTTCCTTCCCGGGGCTCTGCTTCTGGTACTTAGTTTTCCAGGGTTGCTCATTTATTTGTTATAGCCCAGCCTCTCCTCCAGCTTCCTCTACCTCTATCTTAAACCAGTGATTTCTGAAATGCCAGTCCATGTACAAAGTCTAGACTGCTGGCTTAAGAACTACATGGAGAGCTTACTAAAAACATAGCTTCTCAAGTTCCAACCCTCAGGGTCCAATCCAGTAGGTCAACAATATGACCTGGTTACTCATGTTTTTTCTTATAAGTTCCCTAGTAATTCTTATGTGTAGTCAGGTTTGAGATAGGTTTCTAGACTTTTCCTCTCGTATGGCCCAGTCATTTCAGGCCTTTGCTTCCCCTGACCTATCTAAAAAACTCATTTGTGTTTGGGTCCATGAATCATCAACTGGCAACAACTTAATTTTTTCCCCCCAAGATCTTACACAGAGGACACCATGTTATGCCATGAACCAAAGTATGAAAAATTTCAAGAGAAGGGAAGGAATATTTAGAATCCTCATTCTTCATAAATGGGGCTGCCCTAAAGATTATTGTGCACTCCGGCTCTCCCATCCTCTCCTCCACTTTCCAGGTAGAGAGGTCGAGGTAGCCAAGAAAGACATACTGTGAATTAAAATTTGGAGACAAAGAGGCACCACAGATGGACAGAATAAATAATAACAACCATGTATTGAACACCAAAGACCAAGCACCACCTTAAACACTTTACAGGGATTATCTCATTTAACATTCTCATCTGTGAATGTGTATTTGTATTATTAGTCCAAGTTTACAAATTTAAAAACAGATGCAAAGAAATTACCCAAATTCACACAGCTCACAAGTGGCTGAAGATAGAGAAAGAGAATAACTCAGAGGGACCAGAGAATGTATGAAGGCATGAGACCTTAGATTATCAGAGACATATCCTCTCTCCTTTTTTTCAGAGAGAATATTGGGGGTGGGGGAGGTGGGTTAAGATAAAACTTTTGGAAGACAGCCAAAAATTGCATAGCAAGAAAATAGCAGTGTCTCCAGGACTTCTCAGTGGGGAATTACTAAACTAGGGCTTTGAGACCTCTTTCTGGCCTATGGCATAAGAGGACATGCAATACCCTCCCTCTGCTCTCCCATTTGGGCAGAATATGTCTGGTGGGTGGGTTGGGGGTTGGAACAAGAATGCTATCTGACAGCCTTTAGTTATAGGGAACTGAAAGAGACAATGAGCTCTTAAAGGTGGAAATGGGGATAGCGGCTTGACTGGCTTTATTCAAGCTGCCAAGCCCAGGACTGCAGGGGAAAAAGCCAGAGGTCTCTATGGAAACTTTGTCCATGCACACAGACTATATCTGGATGATTCTTCAGAAAGTACCTTAAAGAGATGACATCAAAACGGACCAAGACTCATGTCAACGTGGCAGAACTTCCCTTAAGACTGACACCAATTTCTGTTCTCTGCCCTTCCAGGTCCTCTTCTGAAAGAGACTACAGAGCTGAGGTGGCAAGATTAAATCTCTCCTCGTCAGAAACGTTCTCTAGAGCTGACTGACCTTAAATTATCCCTCCTGCTGTTAGGTTCTGGAAGGGAGGCTGTCCCCAACACGTCTGTTCTTTTTCCTGGGCCCAAGGGAGCAAGTCCTGGGGCCGAACGGTCATTTGAACTTTGATGGCATCATTAATGAGATCAAACAATTCACGGGCACTCCTTGCACTGCAAAAATTTCTCTATAATCAGACTCAGATCACTATCCATAAGGATTTTCAGTGGGTTCTAGAGAGATCAAAGCATTCCCCTTAACCACTATTATCCAGCTGTCCAGTCGCAAATGATCCAATAGAGACCAATAGTCTCCTTTCTTCAGCTGGCAGTAAACCGAACTCCAATTACAGATGTGGCGGACGATATATCCTTCACACCCCAACCCACAACGTCCTGTGAAACCCCTAAGACCTCACAAATAGTCTTGCCATCTCTAACAAGCTGGAAGGCTCATTCCTCTGCAGAGAAAGGATGGTATCAATTCCAAAGATTCAAACAGCCTCTTTAAAAGCTTCCATTTGGAAAAGATATTTAAGCTAAGCTGTGCTTGATGAAGTGAAATAGAATTAGCCGCTTCAGTAGCACAGGCTTATCAGATTCATTCTAAGGTAGACTGGCTTATTCGCTTCCAAGTGGAACGAACTCAACAACAATATATCACAGTTAACCGTGATCACAGTGCCATGGAATTTCAGATGGTGCCTGGGGTACACCAAGGTGCACTTAATATTCCCCAATCTGTAATCAACCTTTTGTACATTTGTTCCTAATCACAGGATACTGTTTCATCTTAATGAACTGTTTTCTTAGCATATTACAGTTGGTCATTTCAGCATGACTAATGGCCCATTTGGTAAGTTAAATTACAATTAGGGTCCGTTGGTTTTTGTTTCCCAGCAAGGCTTAGAGGGATTTGATTTTTCCCCCTCTTCCCATTGCTCAATTTCAAGGACAGATCACAAAAGATCAAAGGCAAAGACATACCTGTTGCAGTCAACGTGGAGGAGGAGATGAGAAGCGCTAACTGACAATGCGACCTTGTGCCACTGCCCATCTGCCATCCGATACGGAAGGGCCTCTGTCCTGGGCTTCCCATTGTGTATGTAATGATACCGAATCTCGTCCCTCAGACCGCTGCTCTCCATTTCAAAATAGCTGTACAGAAAGCAACAAAAACATGTCTTATTTTCCTTCTGGACATCACAGCCATCATCAGTCCTCACAGCTTACCACAAGGTTTCTCAAAATCTAAAATTAGCTAAACATCACACAAAGAGCTATGACCCAAAATCAATTGAACCCAAAATCAATAGAACCCAATTCACCTATGGTCTGAGGGCCCTCATGGCAACACCTTGAGCCTCTGAAATGGAGACTGATTGATCCACTGTGAGGTGACAGGCCGTGACTAATTAGCAAAGCTTGATGCAGTGTCTCTTAACTGCTCAGAAGTACAGTTCAGAACCCTCTTTCTATTGTCTAAAAAAGGCCATTCACATGGAATGGATTTATTGATGTTTTTATTACTGCCATTTTTACTTCTTTTTCAAGAATTAAAGAAAAATAGAAGTCATGTTGGATATCACAGATTGAAATAAATTATCAGAGAGAGTGAAGAGATGAGTAAGGTTTTTTGTTTGTTTTTACTTCCCCCTGCATAAAAAGCTGTAAGCGGAAAATTATTCCTAGATAATGAGTAGGGAAGAAAAGGTTGAAGCTTCTCACATATGGACCAGTATTTCAAGTTATCATGAAATAAAACATGCAGTTAAGTTACTTTCTTTTCCCAGATTGTTACCATATTTTCCAGATCCATGAAAAACTCAGCACCACCACTGCAATTTGCACTTCAGTCGTAAAATGCAACAGGCAACTTTGTGACACCCCTCAGACACACACCAGGCTGATACCTTCATGGGTGGCAGACCTATCTAGCGTCCTATGCCTCTCTGCTGAGACGTGTCATCATCACTGACACCAACAGTAAGCCTAATCTCACTGCCAGGCCTTGCGTGAAGCATTTAATATATACTATCACTCACGAAAATGCACAAGACTGATATCCCTTTTTAAATATTAAAAAACAGATTCTAGAATTAAATGACATACCCAAGTCAGGATTTAAATTTCGGTCTCAATTTGACAGGCCTATGTATTTTCAACCAGTTTGTTGCCCATCTCAGAGGCACAATAACAAAGCAGTAAAGATGGCCTCAACCGGCACTATCTCCCAGAAACTCATTCATAAGGATAACTTAGAAACCACTTACTTAGACAGGTAAGCAGGTTCAGTCCATAGATTTGGAAGGACCTATTGCTTCTCCTCTAATCCACTGAGTTGGCCTTACCCCCACTAGCTAGGTCATATTTAACCTAAAACACAAAATGCATCTTCTATGAGAACCAAAATGAATATACCATGAAACTCAGCCTCTATTATGCATGACTCTCAAATCTTATGTCAGCAAAAACTGCGTATTTCTTGCTCATCTTTCACAGGGACCTTCCCAAGAGAGCCGTACAAGGGGAAGCAGAGTCAAGATCAGCCTCTGACCAACTCCATTTGCAAAAGGCAAAGAATCAGGTCCAAGGTCATAAACTGAAGAGGTTACTTATCCTATTGCAGCCAGTTCCTGAGCCCAGGTACATAGTTATTAGCGACAATAAATATAACACATATTTATAAGACTGCAAAAGAAATCCCTTAACATAGAAGACATTCATTTTAAGGGAATCTCCAAATTTCTTCTAAGCAGCTAGAACATTAGAAAAATCAAACAATCAGAGAACTTAAAGGTCAAGACCTCAAAGATTAGTGAAGGGCTAAAAAAGGATTGAAATATCAGTTCTTTTTTTAAATGTAGATAATAAAGATTCTTTAAGAGAACTGGAAAAGGAAATAAAATATGCGTCCCTCCCATAAAAAGCCAGACACTGGCTTAAGAGAAACAAATGGAAGGCAAGGGAAGCTATCATTTCATGAGTGACTGCCATGTGCCAGGAATGGGCCAAGATGCTTTCATAAACATCATCTCATTTAATTTCTTCAAGGTAGGTATTTTAGCCCTACATTACAGAGGAGTTCACTTAGGATCAGAAATATTAAGTGCCTTGTCTAAGATCACACAGCTCTTGTATAGAAAAGCAGTATTTTATATTTGAGAACTTAAGATTATCGCGCCTTGTCCAAGATCACACAGCTCTTGTATAGAAAAGCAGAACTTAAGATTATCACATCATGAGAAACCTCTCAATTATTTTGACCAATAAGCTACTGCTGGAGGAAAGAACATGACCTTGAAAGGGCTTCAATAAATGACAATTAGAAATGCTCAGAGAGATCACCTGATGGAATCATAAAAGCGGTAGATACAGCTAATCAGATTTAATCATTATTCTTGGGGTTATGGTCTCATTGAGCAAGTGCTCAATGAATTACAAACAGATCTTTTAAAGTTCACTTTAGAAAGCATTGCAGTAAGTGGTCACCTTGAGGTCACGACAAATATATAGCTATGAGAAAAGAAATCTGCCCTATTGTTAGGTAAATGGTGTCTTAAAGTGTCTGACAATATCATACACACATTCAAAAAAGTGCTGTATCTCAAACAAATTGGATGAAAGTCAAGGTAATTTTTTAAAAATGTAGATAACTGCTGAATTGGCCCTAGGGATGACAAGGACACTGACGGCTTATATCCAAATAAAATTGTCGCATGAGCGCTAGGAGGGGAATAAGGCAATATTTCCAAGCAGTAACCCTCTGCTAATAGAAATGTGAGGCTGAGTCCTGAAAGCAACTTGGAGGAGGTGGTCGTTTGGCCTGATGGCTTTTGGCTGTTGCCTGGAAGAAAGACTCAGGATTTCTATTAGAGAATTGTTATTGAAAGTAGGGTCCACGGACCACCACCTCCACCAGCAACAGCAGCACCAGCTGAAATTCAGATTCTGGGGCCCCCACCAAGATCCACTTGAATCAGAATGTGTGTTTTAATAAGACCCTCACATGATTCATGTGCACATTAAAGTTTAAGAAGCACTGCAGTCGAGTACACCAGGTGTTGCTTTACTTCCTGGCCATCTGGTCGTGGTGAGGAAGGCGGAAGCTTGAGGCTATGAGCAAATGAGTAAGAACCTTGTGGTGCTGGCAGGGAGAGGAAAGGCGCTGGAGGTGATCGTGAGCAAGTGTCTAGTGAGCCCTCTGCCCTGACCAGTCTTCTCTCCACGCCTCAAGTGTCCTCTCAGGATGTGGGGGTGGAGGCAGCTGGACAAGTGATAAAAACATTGGCTGACTGTGTGAGCACCGTTTTTCCCCTTAGCCTTGGACCTCATCCATGTGCGCTGTTCCAGTGAACTGTCTTGGCTCCCAGAAAAGCCTGTTCATCCAGCAGTTATTTGAAAACAGCAATGATATTCATTACTAAGTTCTCTTTTTTAGGTCAAGCGTCCCCAACATCTCCCTTTATATTTCTGTTCCCCACCTAGACTATGAGGCCCTCCTGGACAAGGATTTTGCCTTACTCCTTTTTTTGGGATCCTTCCCCATGTTGGTCCCCATGCCCTGGGTATGATTAAAATGGGTCAGTTTCCCCCCTTAAACACAACACAGGAATAAATTGGGCTGTGCACAATTATGAGTTCATCCTAACACTTACTCTGACCTCATCGTCTAACACCACCAGAGCTTTCACACAAGATGCTATGAATGTGCTCTTTCCCACCCTTATTTACATGCTTAAATTTTGTTAAACCTAAACCCCTAAGTGCTAGGCAGACTCTCCAGAATCGTGTGATTGCCCACTGCTGAGAAAATAAAGAGAAGCCACCAAAAACACCAAGTGGGTGTCCTGTGACCTGCCTCAAGTCAGGGGCCTTAAGGCCTATGTGTACTGGAAAAAGGGCAATGGCACAATTTTTAAGTACATACTTAGCAGTATGTACTTACTGAGACTTGATTCCAATCTTAAACCTGCTACAAACCATGAAATCTTTGGCAAACATGGCCCTGCCTCTCTGTACCTCAGTTTCTCCTGTCTGCTAAGTAAAGTGATTAGATCTGATCCACAGTGCCCTGGGAGTCCTTGGAAGGGCCTTAGAGTCTATGGAAGGGGGACAAGATGGGGCACCAGAGAAGCGTCATTCTCACTTGTATAAATCGGAGTTCCCTCATAAGATTTCATTCGAACAAAACAGATCCACTTTCAAACGTAGTTCGAAATGACTGAACTAAATAATCTTTAAGGTCTAACTCAGGTCTAAATTCCTATACTATTTTTCAAACTGATAAACTTTAAAAGAAATTAATAATTGCTTGGTCAATTTGTTTCATTCTATCCTTGACTTTTCTGGCAATGCTTAGGCTCCAGGCTCCTTAGCAGCCTGGAGGAGAGATAGGAGATGGCAGATGTAGTAAAACATAGCTAATAGTCACACCCCACCCGTCTCCCTGGGGACACATCAGACTACATTTCCCAGTCCCTTTGAACGCAGGAGGGACCAAATGACTATTGTGGTCAACAAAACATGAGCAGAGGTGATGTGTATAACCAAGGACAGGCACTTAAGAGAGGGCGTGCCTTATCCAGTTTCAGAGGGTACAATAGAGGATTCTGAGGCCTTAGTGGATGATGGTGTCATTAGATGGAATAAACCTGGATCCTTAAATGACTGTATGGAGCAAAGGCACCATTCCTCACACAGGCTAACACTTTAGATAGGTTAAACAAAAATGAATATTTAATAATAATCCATAGATTAGAGGTTATTAGATTTAGAGATTATTAGATAGGCTACCTTGACTCTTTAAAGAGAGGTACAGGAACACGAAACTGAGGAAAGGCAAAAACTGAGAAGTAACCATGGACACAAATCTATTGCTAAGCTATAAATAGAAAGAAATAACAGGTGGTATGCATACAGGCATTTCCTGTCCTGTATATGACAGATAACCTGCATTGCAAGGCCTAATATTCTGTTTGGTAAATGGTGTTTTCCAAAAATACCCACAACATTATCTCCCATCTCACACACCCTTCTACAAAATAATCTTGACATTCTTCCAACTGAAAGGTGGAATCTATGCCTCTACCCCTTGAATTTGGGTGATCCTGTCAGTGCTTTAAGGGCAAAAGTAATGCTTGGTGACTTCCAAGACT